CAACTACAATTGTCTTGAAGAATTGGAAATAGAAGATGGATGCCAAACAGGTCTGTTATCATTACTAGAGACAAAGCTCCTATCCCGACTTTACATTGGACATTTTAATGACATACAGTGCTTGCCCAACATCAATCGTCTTGAAAGTTTGAGTCTCTCGAATTGTCCAACCCTATCGTCGTTCCCTGAAGATATCCTACCCACTTCGTTGACTTCACTTACCATATCCTTTTGTAGGAGATTAGAATTCCTACCTCATGAGATGTTGGCCAAATTAACATCGCTCTACTGGTTGTGGATACAGAATAGCTGTGATTCAATGAGGTCCTTCCCCTTGGGCATTTTTCCCAAATTGAGCGAACTTTATATTGTGAATTGTGAGAATCTGGAATCGCTTTGCTTGATTGAAGAAGAAGGAGCGGTCGAGAATCTCAGTCATCTCAATAATTTATATATCTCAGGCTGTCCAAATCTGGTGTGTTTTCCCCAGGGAGGATTGCCCACCCCCAAACTGACTTCGCTGCAAGTTAATGGATGCGACAAGTTGAGGTCATTACCTGAATGCATTCACACACTCACAGCCCTTCGATATTTGGAAATAAGGGATCTTCCAAATCTGGAGTCAATTGCAGAAGATGGGGGTTTGCCTCCCAACCTCCGATATTTTACAATTGAGAATTGTGAGAGACTGAGGGCTTCATCTTCATCAGTGGGAGACTACTGTAACTGGGGTTTGCAAGCACTTGTCTCCCTTGAACAATTTAGAATTGGTGGCAGGGGAAGTGATGAAATCTTGGAGACGTTGCTCAAGCAACAGCTGCTCCCAACCACTGCTCTCAGCATATATTCATTAACAACTCTGAAATCTTTGGATGGAAAGGGACTTGCACACCTTACTTTTCTTCGAAGTCTATCTATTACTGCGTGTAAAAGTTTGGAATTCCTGCCAAGAGAAGCCCTTCAACACCTCACTTCTCTTCAAGAGCTATATATTTATGACTGTCCGAGTCTCCAATTCCTGCCAGAAGAGGGTCTACCGCCATCTCTTTCTTATCTGAGAATCTACAATTGTTCTGGCCTGGAGAAAAGGTATCAGAATAAGACGGGAGAAGATCATTGGGACAGCATATCTCACATTCCTTGCATCCGGATAAATGCTGAAGTCATCATATGATGATAATGATACCACCTCTCTCTCTCTCACATAGAGACAAACAAACTCTGGTCAGGTATGTACTTCAAATAACCGCTTTAACTGCTTTTCTTCTAATACAACACAAAAACTGAAATTCACTATCCAAATAAACCGAAATACACATTTTAAATAATTTTTATGTCAATTGCCCCAAATTTGCCATCAATTTTGCATCCAATTAACCTTTGCAGTTGCATCGAATGCTTCTTCCCAGATCATGCTCGCTCTCTGTTGTTCAGCACATTTTTATTTATTTAATTCATATTCATTTTGACTTATAACCATAGGCACACTCTGTTTAAATTTCGTTTATGTATTGTTAGGATGTTTAATCTCCGTACGTGTCAAATCGAAAGTCTCAATTAGATATTTTTGTCCTTCTAATGAAAGTACGTGTCAAATCGAAAGTCGCAATTAGATCTTTTTGTGGAAGATCTGGAGGTGTACTTTCTAGCACTTAAAAAAAAAAAATCTTACATACTGCCATGTACATACATACCAAATGGTTTTGTTCAACTGAAAAGATTGACATGGTAAATTTATTCAAGTAGTATAAAAACCTACGTATGCCATCTTCCTTCATACAATTTTTGAAAAGTGTTCATTCATCCCATTCTTCTTCAAAAATTATACTAGTCGCATGGTTCAAAGGAGGCAACTTTCCTTTTCCCCATCTCCCTGGTCCAGCTGCTGCTCATTATCTAGTACTAGTAGCTTGTTCTATATGATTGTGTAGATATGCATATAATATCTTATCTGCAAATGATTTTTTTTTTCCATCCCACAAATCATTCCTTCAGCTACAAAGTTCTATTTGATGAGACTTGAAATGTTGGATGTGTACTTGCAGACTTGAGAAACTTTCCCATGTTTGGAGGTCAAAGCAACTTGTGTAGGCAACCATTGTATATGGTTACCATTGTATATGGATGTTTGTATTTCTACAAACAAATTGCGGCAAAGAAGGGGAAGGAAATGTTCTCAAGGTGGAGCTCTAGCAAGAGACCAGCATTTGGACAATGCGGTAAACAGATCTCAATCTAACATAACAAGCATCACTGCCCATTCATGATTAGGTAATCTTTCATCATAAAAGTCCTTTCCCAACGTAATAACTTATGAAAACGTCATTTATGAGTTTCCTCCCCTTCTGATGTTAGCCAACACACTCCAGCCTTCCTTGAGTAATACATACCACAAATTTGAGATACTGGGCAATAAACAAACAATTCGTCTGCACTCTCCCTGATTTAGTTTGCTTCCCCGTTGTTGTAATAGATAACATCCATGCCTTCTCATCTGATTTACTCATTTGCCAGAGTGGGAGGAATGAAGACCAGAAGGCCGGTGTCCAGATTTTCCTCATCTCAAGGACCTGATTGTGTCTGAAACTAAGAGGAAGCTTGCCTTCTCATCTTACTTGCTTGAAAGACTGAGCTTGTCGTCCAGGTGTGGAGTTCTACATGATGAAAGGGCCAGTACTACTCGTAACATGGAATAATGTCTTGAAGAATTAGAAATATATGATGGATGACGAGGTCTGTTCTTGTTACTAGAGGCAAAGTTCCTGTTTGTGCTCCTATTTGATACGACGACGCCATTTCCAATTCAAAAACTTTTCAGGTATGTTAAGAAAGTATTGCACAACTAGATATTTATGATTCAAATTCAAAACAAAGCACAAATTGGATTCATATAAATCTACCTAATTGCCATGCCATTGTTTATAACATTTGATAATTGAATATGCATCTTTCAGTGTCGTCCCCTTTAAGTTTTTAGTGTATCAGTTAGTCTCTTTCATCTCTATTTTCTTGTACATACTTGTTGGTTGGAAATTAGTTTTCAGAACCTACATGAGTTGGGGTTAACTAGAGAAACTAAGATGAATCTAATGATCCAATTCTTAATGTCTTGAACTTAGGAGTATCTTGTTGAGCTGAGATATGCATGAAAATGGAAAGCAATCGAGTTGAAATCCTCACTGGCTTTTCAAAATCTGATGAGGAACAAAAGTATGAGAAAACACATGGAGGTAAAATTCTGTTGGTCCTTTTCTGTGCCTTTCACATCCGAAAGGTTTGCTTGCTGCAATTAATCGAACTACAGTTCCATTTCATTAGAATTTTTTTTTCTTTGTTGTATCTCTAGACTCTCTGCGTAAGATTCCCAATGGAAGCCCTCCTTCTTTCACTTGTTAATTCTTAGGGAATAACAATTTTACATTCTATTTAAATTTACAACAGAAGAAAACTAAAGCGCATTGCATGCTCTTTTATGGTAGAATGACCTTATCATCTTCCAACAACTCGAGAAATGCATGCTCTGATGTGTTGAAGTTGAAGATTTCGAGAAAGAATGAAAGCTGTAGCAGAAAACATAGGGCTGAGATCTCTCCAAGGTATTGCTCCACTCTCTCACAATCTCTGTTCCTTGTATTACGAAGCTTACAGGATTACTCATTACTGACCATCATCACATGATCTTGCAGATGATTTTGGGGAGGTTTGCCAATTGACCTTAGTGAAATCGAAAAAGAAAAGTAAGTTTGCTTTTTTATATTTGAAAGTTGGCACCTTTGTTTATATTCTTTGCATTAGACCGTTGCTCGGAACCATCCATCTTATTCTTTTTGATAATTTACAAGGTCCCTTGACGGCAGTGGAAGGGGCACATGTTTTTTAGTAAACGGATACTTAACGACAGCAATAAACTTAACATCCTTATTATATGCTTTCTATTAGCTCTTTGATCAGAGCTATCTTGTCCTGCAGATAGTTCATTTGTGTTTGGAGGGGCAGCCTTCATCTGATCTGACCACATGGAAAAGCTCTCTGTGTTGATGAAGAATTCTTCATCTCAAACAAGATAAACTGATGTTAAACACTGGGGGCACGTCTTTGTTTGGTTTTCTTGCAAGAAAAACAACGTTAAACTGATGATAAACTGATGTTAAAGCTCGTATTGTTGAAGTTCAATTTCCTCTTGTCCCGCATTGAAAGATTATAGCTTTATCTATGAATCCTTCAAGGGTAGCCAGTTTGATACTGATTGTTGTTTCCAACAAAAGCTTTGTCTATACACATTTTCGTCGAATGTTACATATATTCAATGTTTCCATACATTTCAAGAATTTTGACAAGCAAACGGTCATTCATTGAAGTTCAATATGAAATCTTCTGAGGTTGTCTATGCTATGGGATAAGCTGCTCATGTTACCATTATTTCCGTGTTCTGTTTTTATAGATTGTTATGACCCTTCTGTTCCTTGTTCCCATGACAATCACAATGTTATGCCTCCACTTAAGCAAATTAGAAGACAGTTTGGAGTTGGGATATTAAAAGTAGAATGCTACATGCACAACTGATCATAACATCTCTTAAAAAATTTGAGCGTTAACAAGTAAATAAACATGCACTCACATTTTATTTGCACTTAAAAATTAAAATTGTTGTGCATGGAACTAAATTGGCACTGAAATATTTTTTACCTTCTCTTTCTTATTTCCATGAGTGAATGTATGTTTTGCTTGCTAACGCTCAACAATTTTAAGACAAATGCTAATCATACCTCATTTTTTGATGAACAATGGGGGAAAAAGCCCCAGAAGCAAAAAACAACTTAGCTAAAACTAAACATCCGAGGCTTCACAACCCCCAACATATCATCAATCAAAATAGAGCTAATCCAAATTGGAGCATCCTCAAAATAGCAGACCCCCATATCCATATTCAGACTCCAATTAGCCAAGCAATCTGCAGCAACATTCCTTTCCCTATAAACATGAGTAAGCTCAACAGACTCGAACTTCCTCATCAAAGCAACACAACTTGCAATCACCCCAGCACAAGGATGATGACAACTAGGAACATGCTGCTTGATAAGCTGAACAGCAGTCATAGAATCCATTTCAATAGAAAGCCTAGCCACCCCTTTAGCCACAGCAAGCTTCAAACCAAAGAATAACCCCCAAAGCTCAGCATCCAGAGTTTGCCCAATACCCAAGTTGACAGCAAACCCACCCATCCAGTCCCCAAAGGAATCACGGATGATACCACCAGCACCAATACAACCAATACCACCCTTGCGGGAACCATCAACATTTAACTTGAACACACCATTCACAGGGGGCTCCCAAGCCAACATAACCTGCACTTGAGTCCTTTTGGAGATGGAATTAGGACAAGCCTTGAGCCACTCAGAAACTGCAGAAGCAATAATCCTTTTAGGGTGAAAAGGCAACTCAGCTTCAGCATTAAAAACTCTATTGTTTCTCCATAATCATACCTCATTTCAATTTGTAGAAATGTCAGCTGAACTTATATCTCAGTTTCAATTTGTCACCTGAAAGAAAAATTTAAGAGAAATGTCACTTTAATTTTTCAAAAGTCATGATTTGTTGTCTGACTCTAACATTATCCAATTTTCCATATATTTTAAGGGTATTTTAGTCTTTCTATTTTCAAGGGTATTTCAAACATGGAAAGTTCATTATAAAAAATATTTATATCTTTTAAACAATTAAAATTGAAATAAATAAATAAATCGCCTTCCCCTATCCCTGTGTGTCATCGACAGCTCCAACCAACTTTGCCCACCTTGAAATCCATTCCCCCTTCTCTCTTCACATACCATTCCTCCATTTCCCTTTCCCTCTACCACTTCCTCCTCTCTCTACTATGGCACACCTAGCTTCCACACGCAAATTCCCTCAGCCCACCCAAACCGAGTCCACCTTCTTCTTTTTTCTAATTAAAAATTTTAATATAAGTGAGGGTGGCGGTGGACCATAACATTTTTAATCTGCCACCAACACGACTGGGTCACTGAGCCAAAAGAAACAAGGCCAGAGACGGGGGAGGGTAGAGAGAGAGAGAGAGAGAGAGAGAGAGAGAGAGAGAATATTAACTTACAGTTTCTTTCCTTTGCAGAGGAGAGATAGAAAAAAAAAAATTATATATGATTTTTTGTTTTTAATAATGGGGTGTTTTTGAGTTTTTAAAAATGAGCCTACTAAATTGGTTTTGATGGCTTTGGACTTAAAATTTGTTTTTCAGTTTTTTTTGTTCTGAACAAAAAGAGTATTTTTTTTCTCCGTTGGTTTGGGATTTTATTTTTGTTTTTGTTTGCTTACAGACAACGCTTGAATTAAAGAAAAAGAAAAGAGTAAATAGAAAAAGGAAAAGAAAAGCTTACCGACTAAGCAAAGAAAGATACTCAAAGCGACACGTGTATGACACGTATACAAAAAGACTCCGAGCAGCGAAAGAAATAAATTCCAATCTGTCTTACAAAGTGTCAGAAACCCAAACACAAAACAAAAGCAGATGAAATTGAAATCGAAATCTTCTTCTTCTTCTTCTTCCTTCTTGTGTCTGTTTATGCAACTCATCTTCTTCGTCCTCTTACCTTTCCTCGCATTCCCATCCTTCGCAGAAGAATCAAATCCCTCCCATTTCCAAAACATGGCCACTCTCGGCGGAGTCCACGAATCCCATGCCTCCCAGAACAGCCTCGAAACCGAAGACCTCGCTCGCTTCGCCGTCCAAGATCACAACAACAAGGAGGTCTTTACTCTTTTTTGCCTTTTAATTTCTACAATATTATGCTGGAATTTCAATTAATTGAAAATTTTGCAGAATGCTCTGCTTGAGTTTGTGAGGGTGGTGAAGGCGAAGGAGCAGGTGGTTGCTGGCACTCTGCACCTTCTGACGATCGAGGCAATTGATGCCGGAAAGAAGAAGCTTTACGAAGCCAAAGTCTGGGTGAAGCCATGGATGGGTTTTAAGGAAGTGCAGGAGTTCAAGCACGCCGGTGACTGTAATGAAACGCCGTCGTTTACCCCTTCCGATCTTGGTGTTAAGGAAGGTGGGCACGGTCCCGGGTGGGAATATGTGCGGCCACACGATCCTCAGGTTCAGGATGCTGCAAATCATGCTATTAAGAGCCTCCAGCAAAGGTCTAATTCTCTGTTTCCTTATGAGCTTCAAGAAGTTGTTCACGCTAAGGCTGAGGTTTGTGCCCTTCCCATTTCTTGTGCTCTTTGGTTCGGTGGGTTAAATTTGGTTGTTTTCAATTGGGTGGCAAGGAGAATTGGGTATTGGAGGGTAGGTAATATTTGGTTGAATTGAATTGGTATTGGAGTTGTCTTTAGATGGTTCAGAAGATTGAAATGCATTTTGTTGGTTTTAAATGTGCATTTGAACTCAAATTGTTCTGTATAGTGCACAGGAATCTTCTAATTTCTTCTTTTCTTCATTTGTTTCTGTTTTGAGATCAATGGGTTTGTACTGATTTGCATATGTTTGAACTGTCTGTGTGAGAGCAGGTGATAGAAGAACATGCCAAGTTTAACATGCTTCTGAAGTTGAAGAGGGGAGACAAAGAAGAGAAGTTTAAAGTTGAAGTGCATAAGAACAATGAAGGCGCCTTCAAACTGAACCAGATGGAGGCAGATCACTCCTAGTTAAGATATAGCAAGTTTGTAGCAAAGCAAATGTTCTGGAACTAACTGAGTGTACAATTGCTTTGGTTGCTGTTTGTATAACTTTTTATGACCTGATGCCAACACTTTGGTGTGTGGTTGTGTTTTCGAACTGTATGTGTACGTATAATAATGCTATTGCTACTTATCTTTTCTTTCAATTCCCCTCTCACTCCTGGAATGGGTTCGATTTGCCCATCGCATTCTCGTCCCTACGAAAATCCTGATCTGACCCTGGTCCCTACCAACCATAACAAAGTTCTCTATCCCTATTCCTGCCTCGGACCGCGTGAGGGATTCTTACTCCCTTGCCTAGGTAACCTTTCGACTGCTGTCGACCATTTCGACACTAGATATTTTTTGGTTTTTTGGTCAGAACCCACAGCCAAGCCTGTTCCTAGCTACAACCGCAGCTTCCGCCTACTGTTGTCAATGTCAGTATGAGAGTTGGACGAAGACAGAAACTAAAAAATTAGTTGGAATTGCGGTTAAAAATCCTTTTTATTGTTTATAAAAATTATTATTTTTAACATAAATTTTTTATATATTACTTTTGAGACATACGGCTCCCACTATACTTCTATACGGAGAATAGAAGGATAAAGCAATAGAATAAAAGTTGGAACGAAGATAATTGAGTTCTAGAGCAAAGAAATCGAAAAGAAAATTCTATAATCGGTAATTTCTGAATAAAATTGAGAAAAAAGACTACAAGTATTGCAAGGATACATGCCATCTGAACCTTGTCAACTAGTAAACCTAAGTGACTTAAGGTTGGATGCTAATCAACTCTCTGGAAAATTAAACCAGAACAGGAAATTCAAAGAAAACCTAGTAAAAGAATAGACTAACGGGCCCAAGGACTCTTGGAGAGCCTTGTAGATGCTCCTGCATCAGAATAGCAACTAGCAGATGTCACCTCAGAACTCTCAACAACATCATCAGCAAACACAGGGATATGTTCCTTGGCTATATCAGATAAAATGATGAGCACATGCTGCTCAACCTTAACAACCATACCAGTTGCACCTTCCAGAGTACCAGATACAACTTTCACATGATTCCCGGGTTCAAAGTATTTGCAAAGTTCTTTTTCGTTTAAGGCAAGAGTTTTTGGAAGTTGTTTCATTTCGGGCCTGATATGAACAATCTCTTCCTCAACTTTCTCAACCCGTCCTTTCAAATTTTTAAGATCTCCCTTGATAACAATAACTGTATCACCCTTCATAAAGGGTCCCTTCTTTCTGTTTGAAAATAAAGTTGACAAACGGGCACCGTTCTCCTCGGGTTTCCGGAATTTTTCAAGTTCATCCAAAGTGGGACGTATGTTTTGAGAGCTAATTGATTTCATCGACACTGCCTTGTACAGGAAACCATCTTTAAACAGCATGCCATCAATTCTCTCAAAGTAATCACCAGTCACCGGATCTCGTCTACGCTCTACATGAATATGCAGTTGTCTTACTTCATCAATATTCATAAAGCGTGGAGGAGGAACAAATGCCTTCTTTTTCACAACTTGTCTGCCCTCCAGTTTATTCGCAATAGCTTGTAAATCAATCCTTGGAATTAATTTTACCCTGACTCTCTGCCGCACATCATCGACACCCACAACCTTGGCAAGGTCTCCTTTATAGGTCCCCATCTTCATTCTGACCCATGTACCCCTAGAAACATCAATTGCCTTGCTTTCAACTGAAAGAACGTCAGTCATTTCTCCGATCGGAACACGGTTTAACTTATGTAGGGCAAGTATATTGCGCAGACCTTTGCAAGCCTCCCTCACATGGGCTTCGTTGTCGGCTTCAATGTATATAAAGTTTTTGAGGTGGTCTAGGGCAACAGCAGACTTGATGTTCAGTTTAGGTTTATCAATATACTTTTGCATTAAGCAAACAACTGCTTCTCGCTCACGACCGATCGCGCATTTCACCATCCACAACTTCGGGTCCTTAACACAAGGTAAAAGAGCTTGCTGATTCACCACCACATCAGTTGTCTCCTCCTCGTCGTATTCTGCATGACTCAATGATGACCTTGCATACCGCGCTTGAATTCTTCTCTCAAGCGCTTCAACATCTTCTTCTTGCTCATCTTCTTGCGGCTGCAATGGACGATGACGATGCATCCTTCTATCATCATGTTCTTCTTCAGGGAGATCAGTTCCAGTATCAACAATGAAGTCGTCCTCGCCCTCATCTTCCTCTTCCTCCTCCTTATCGTTATCGACCTCAGCCTCGATATCAAGAAACTTTGACCCAATAGGCCTCTTATTCCTCCGCTTACGACTCACACCACCATCATAAGCCTCATCGTCGTCTATGAAATCCGATCTCCTCCGCTTCTGTCTGGATCTTTGTCCTCCCTGCTCCTCCTCATGTTCCTCTTCTTCATCCCCATCTAGAGCTTGGTCTGGTTCGTAGTCATCTTCATCTCTGTGACAAGCCATGGCTGTCTGTGTGCTGATGGGATCAAATTTGGGGTTCTAGGGCTTTTGTTGGGTAGAAAGAGCGTAGTGGTGCTTTTCATGACATAAGTCTCCTGTTGAATTGACAAAATTGGACTAGGAAACTGCTTTCCTCCTTGCCCAAGGAAGGGGGCATTCCTATCTCCTCTAAGTCACAGATTTACAAATATTATGTATAAATAATTTATAAAAAGTACCCAAAAAAAGAAAAAATATTGACACACATGTCACACAACAGGAAAGTAGGAGTTCTTATTTCCACGAAAGAAGGCAAGTATTTTAAATAAAACTAGGGGTACGTTATCGAAATCCCACCTAAACTATATGCTGCGCTATTCTTGCAATTTTGCTACAACAAAAAAGTCTTCCCAAAACTTTACGGACTAAGCTATTTCGTATTTTCGATCGAAAAAAAAAGGGAGTTTCACTAAAACACCCAAAATGAGGGCTGAAATTATAAAAAAACCCAACACCCAAAACCCATCATTACACACACTCAAAACCCATTTATAAATACACCCAAAAAATATACAATTGTTGATTTTGGGTGTGTTTCTATGTTTAAATAGTGCTTAGGTTTTTTTATAAATACATGTCTATGATTGGGTTTATTTATAAATTTGTAAAAAAAAAAAAAACTATTTCGTATAAAATATAAAATTCAAAGAAAAAAAAAATTCTTACAGACTAAGCAAGGAGAATCGCACACGTGTCCCAAATCCAATGGGCGAAATACCGGAGTTTCCGTGCACACAGCATGTCGAAGAGTCAACAGAATTGAAATCGAAATTTTCATCTTCCTTCCTCCTGTGTGTATTAATAGCCATACAACTCTCTACCTCAAATCCAAAAGCCTCAGCTCGCAAAAACCAATTCTCACCCAAAAATGGCAGCAGTTGGCACAGTACGCGAATCTCAAGGTTCCGAGAACAGCGTCGAAACCGAAAGCCTGGCTCGTTTCGCCGTCGAAGAATACAACAAGAAGGAGGTAAACAAAAAGCCCTTTTTCTATTTGTGTGAAACAAAGATTGTGGGTGGGTTTTTGGTTAATTGATTGATTGAATAACTAATTGTGCAGAATGCTCTGCTTGAGTTTGTGAGGGTGGTGAATGAGAAGGTGCAGGTGGTTTCGGGCACTCTGCACTATCTGACGATTGAGGTCAGCGACGCGGGGAAGAAGAAGCTCTTTGAAGCCAAGGTCTGGGTGAAGCCCTGGGCCAACTTCAAGGAAGTGCAGGAGTTCAAGCCTGTTGCTGACTCTTAGTTTGTCTTGAGAGGTTTGTGGGCTTTCATCTGGTTTTTTATTTATTTACTGCTTTTTTCTAATTACCTGGTCATTTGTTTGGAGAATTGGGTATTGGAGTAGGATTTGGTTGTGTTGATCTGTATCTTGTATTTTTGTGTCAATATGTATGGAAGTATATAAAATTGTAGATTTGCATTTCTTGTTAATGTAAATTTCTTAACTGAGTAAGAGTTTAAGATTTTGGAAATTCAATTGTAAGCAATTTACACAAAAAATTCACTCATTGTAGACGACTTGGATCCTCTCCTTGGCTTTTGTTTTCCTGCTTCCTTGTTTTCTAATGAAAGAGAACCCAAAGATTAAAAATATGCATGCCAGTTTATGAAATTCTAGGTTGTTTTTTAGCCTTCATTTCATGTCCTTTTTCCTCACTCCTCTATCAGAAGAACAGGCCTGTTTCCTTTCATTTTTCTCTTCCACTCCTTGGAAGAAAATAGATGATTCATGTGTGTTTTCAGAATTGTTCTTACCACGCCATTGAGCTTTGCAAATAAATTTGGTCTTAAAAATTGTTAAATCAAGCTCAAATGAAGTACATTAAGTCCTTTTAGCCAAGCTTTGCAAGAACATCGTTCAGTCTGGTAGAGTCTCGGCATCTCTACTTGTTTGGTGCTCTTGATCTTTCCTGGGTAATCCAACTGCTCTAAAAAAAGTAATCATTGAAGTTATATTCTCAATGGAAAACATAATTTTTTGTTTAGTAAAAGGATGATAAAGAAATCAACAAGGTAATGGTAGTTATGAACTCATATTGCTAATGTCTAGGAGTATCCTTCAGTTCCTTGAGTGGCTCCTTTTCTTCTTGGGATGCAACCATAAGTGATTGAATATACTTGTTTTCTTTCTTGAGTGTTTCCCACTTACACAATTTGGAGCCACACTTGTTAGGTTCTTTTTAGTAGTGTGTGAAGATGATAAAGAAAAAAATTTGTTATGCATTTTTCTTCTTTTCATAGTTGGGTAGGATAGGAAGGAGACTGTTCATCTTCTCCCTGTTCAGAGAGAAGGATAGGAATAGGTGAGTATAGTAACAAAACCATTTAAAAATTTATGGTCTAACTTGTCATATTTTTAACCTTTGGATATGATTGGTCTATATTAGAAACGATTGGTAATTCATACTTATTTCTATGTGTTTAAACTGTGAGAGCAGGTGATCGAAGATAATGGAAAGTGTAACATGCTTCTGAAGGTGGGGGAAGCAAAGAAGATAAGTTTAAAGTTTAAGTGCAAGAATAATGAAGGTAAAGTCTGAATCAGATGGAGCTACACCACTGTTAATATATGAGTCTGTAGCATGCCAATCTTCTACAAATTTGGGTGTATACATGCTTCCGTTGTAGTATTTATCTTGTGTCCTAATTAATACCAACCCTAATCACTCGGTATTGTTGTGTACTTATTTTTCCAATTTGAATGCAATGTGTTATAATTCTATTCCCTAATCTTTGTCCCAATATCTCCCCATTCTCTCGACATGTAACTTGCTGGAATTGTTCAGGCCTTCCTGATATCATTTGACTTTCCCCGTCTACGGACTCCGAACTTTTAAGCTATGAAGTTTAGGACATACAAGTACTAGGTGTGCAGAAAACTTGGTAACAAGTGAACAAAGTGACTTAAGAATGGCCGTTATTTTGTTATAATTCCAGTTCTTAGTCTTGTTTTTTATTTAAGAATCCTCAACACTTCACAAGTAGTGAGACCGAGAATGAGTGTAACTGTCATCTTTTTACCAAAACTCAAGAATCTGTTTGAAACGTCATCATTTTCATTCTGTTTACTAGCAATCCTACACATGCACAAATATTACTGGAGAAATAAGAGAAGAAAGATGAAAAAGTAGTGAGAGAAAACATTGGTGAATTTATTTTATTTCTATTTTTTGAAAAACTAATTTATAATTACTGTGGTACCCCTAATATATTAGGCTTTTCATTATTTGTGAATGTAAATAGGAACACAATTGGAACAGTACTAGTATGGGTCAATTTCATTTAGTAACATTATTTGATTTGATTTGATACTTGTTACAACACCAAAGCAACCCTAGTTACATTATTTCCGGTTGAAGCGCTAGAGGTAAAAGGGATTAGAAGGCGTGGTTAAATTCCGCTTCCTTTCAAGGCTTGAAGGACAGCTTTCATGGAAAGACGATCTACTGGGCACCACCAGATGCCCCAAACCGTAACGACAAGAAGTTTCTTAGCAATTTGATCACCATTTCCTTGATCACGAGTGCATTTGTCTTCCCCCTGTTCCTTGATCCATTTTGTGAAGTCAAACATGGACGGTATTCTCCTCTGTGACCTGAACGTTTTCCCTGCCTCCAACTATTTCAAGTAACAGCATTCCAAAACTGTGAATATCTAACTTGTATGATACGTTACCCAAGTTCATGGAGAACGCATAAGGCGGAATGTAAACAATGGTCCCACCCTGTCAGACTAGCAGTTGTCATGGAAACTGCAGTTTGATCCTCAAATCAGAATTTTTTTAAATTTTAATTTGTAGAAGTTGTCTTTCAACAAAACATTATGAGGTTTGATATCAAAAATGAAGGGTTCGTTGGTCACATCCGTGCCTCAATTCCTTTGGCTATGATGAGAGTAATATGCTGCAGCTTCTCCCAGCCAAGGAGATTGTTCTCGGTGTCTGCTAATGATCATTTACAAAAGCCAACCAGGTTGATGAACTAAAGCTCTCCTAAATCCATCAGCGCAACCAGATCAGTGCATTGGTTCGTCACAATGTTCCTTTGCAATTGTTGAGGATCTTTTTTGCAACAAGGATTGAATTGGAAAGGTTTCCTTTGAACACTGTCCCAAAGGTACCTTGTCCCAACTTGTGTTCTTATTGGTAATAAGAGTACCTTGTGGGCTTGAGAGCTCTGTTATTTTCCAAACATTTCTTCAATTATGGCTCGAGTTTCTGTTCTGTCAAAAGTATATACATGACAGAGTGCAACAAATGCAGGCACAGGTGAAAATAGACCAAGGACTAGAGTTGCTTAAATTTTGCCCCAACTCCCCTGTAAAAGATCTGAACACCAGCACTTTTTCCTGTCCACAGTAAATCATTATGTAGTGCTGGGAGAAAGTTCTCATATTTTTGGCTATCTATTCATTTTCTTTTCTTCTTCTTTTCCTTTTCTCGAAAATTCAAAATTTATTATTGCTGAAGTTCAGCTATTGCAGAGAATGTGGTGATGCTTAAATAGTTTGGTACATGATTATTTGAAAACCTTGATAGAAACACTCACTCGTTTCCGATTCTCCATTATTCAGATTTTTCTATATTATTCAAGATAAAGAAATTTTGTGGGCAGGAATTTATTTGTCAACATGGAATTTTTTTTAATGTATTGTTAACTTCATTTTCCACAGGGTAGAGTTGATTTGTCAACACGGAAATGAGATTTTATTTGTCTTAACTTGTGGAATAATGTTGCCAGTGGAAAAAAAAGAGTCATAGGAGGATAAGGTTTAGACCAATTCTGCTGCTTTCAAAAAGATGTATAGAAAAACTGGTTGGTGGAAGTCAACAGTCAAGACCACATGATACCTTATTTTAGATAACATGTTGGGAGTATGATTAGATGTTCAAGGTGCAGAGAAAAGTTGAGTATTTCCTCAGAGATGACAATTTCTTTCTTCATCCTGTTGTTCATGGTAGGCCTCAAAGTTAATTTTGGAGCATGCCAAAATGAGTGCTCAGAATTACACTGTGGAGACATACCTATCAAATTCCCTTTTCGACTCAAAGACAAGCAGCCTGATCACTGTGGCTACCCTGGATTTGATTTATCCTGCAATGGAAGCAACAATACGGTGCTTGAGCTGCCAATTTCAGTGAAGTTCAACGTTACTCAAATCAACTACAAATCCCAGGTAATTCAAGTGGTTGATCCAGATGGTTGTGTTCCCAGGCAGCTTCATAAACTTAATCTGTCTGCCTCTGCCTTCCAATTCAAAGACGAAGGGCTCTACTATACTTTATTCAATTGTTCACCAGCAGATAGAAATTTATATTATCAAATTCCCTGCCTTAGTGAGACTGGCCACCAAATGTTGGCTATATATTCAGATTTTTCCATCGACGAAGTTCCCATTTCGTCTTGTACCAAACTGTATAACCTTCCACCTGTTCCACTTGATATATTCGAGTCAGAAAATGTTCTTCGTTTGGAATGGTTCAAACCAGAATGTAAACATTGTGAGAGGAAAGGTGGAAAATGTAAATTGAAGAACAACAATGACACTGAATCAGAAACGGAGTGCTTCAAAGTGGGCAAACAAGGTATAGTCTTTCATCCATATCACTATACTAGTCAGGCATCACCCCTTTGCTCCCCATCAAGAATTTATGCAATTAAATATCTTATGTTGCATTAGCTACCATGAATTAGATAGGAAATGCAAAAAAATAAAGAAAGAAGAAGGAAATTTCTGGCATATAGACTGTAATGCATCATATAACATAAAGATAACCAAGAATATGATTTTTCTGCAAAATAAAATACAATAATGATTGAACGATTTTGGGGACATGAGAATCTAATGGCATTAAATCTTTTACAGGTGCCCGTGCCTCAACAAAGCTAGTGGTTATAGGTAAGCCATGCATGCCCTTTGTCCTCTGTTTTCTTTTTTTTCTTTTTTCTTTTTTTTCCAAAATCTCTTTTTCTCTATAAA